TAAGAGTTAATTCACAAAAATTATGAACCTAAATTAATATTTAAAGTATAGTACTTTGGATATAACTTATTATTTCATTTATTAATAATGGAAATTTTTTGTTATTTGTGGCACTTTGTTACTCATTTCGCTCAATATCGTTGGCTCTCTCTCTTCAAGGCAATTTGCATAATTCTCCCTAGTTCTAGGTTGGGTTTTTTGGTCCTGCATTGCCATGATAAGTCAAATCCAAAGATTCTATACTTGATTGGTATTCTATTTTTTAGGACATTTACCTTATTATACAACATCTTTCTCTTCAAGGCAATTTGCATAATTCTCCCTAGTTCTAGATTGGGTTTTTTGGTCCTGCATTGACATGATAAGTCAAATCCAAAGATTCTATACTTGATTGGTATTCTATTTTTTTAGGACATTTACCTTATTATACAACATATCCTTATTAATCCCTTCCAGTGGTCTCTCACATGATAGCCTTCCTTATGGGTATCCAAAGAATGCATCCTCATATTCAACCAATTAAGCATCTCAATAAAAATAATATTGTACTTATCATGACTGAGCAAAATCTACAAGAAAGCACAAACCTAATTTTCATGCATCATCATTATTAATGCACTTTATGAATGCATTCTCTAATTTTGCATTTTTAAAGTTATTATCTCTATCTAGATAGTTATCAATTAGCCTACTATTTTGATTATCTCCGTAAAGTTTGTTTTAGTTGGAAATTTAACTAATCATGCCAATATTTGGAAGATGCTCGCAAATTGTAATAAAAAAGTATTAGTACTTGAGTGTGTCTAAATACAAATTTTAATTGGGATTAGTATTAATACCTTATAATTTAATTATAAATTATCTTCATCTAAACTTTTTCTCTATTGCTCTAACTTTTCATGTATCCTAGCAGGCGTTTCATAGATTAATGTTGTCTTGTTCAAAAAGTTTACACCAAAGCTCCTCAGTTTAAGCATCAAGCATCTCCATAAACAAAACAAAGAAAGAAATGAACATAATATTAATCCTTTTTACAATAGCTTAAAAAATGAGTTTTTTGATACAATTAGGATTTAAGGTAACAAATTAAGCTTTCTTGCATTTTGGAATACTCATGGCAGTGTATGGAAAGCTTATCATCTTGATATTGAATGAAAATTCCATGTACATGCAACTAATTTGAGTGTAATACATAGGAGACACGAGATTATTCCATGTGAAAAATTTGAAAAGGGTTATCTTCGCTTTAGTTGAAATGATTCCACTGTTGTAAGTTCCAATTATAATGGGCATCCTTTTACATAATTAAAGAAAGCCTTAAAATAATGTTATTAATATGAACTATGGAAGGCGCATCTTGTGATCGCAATAAAAGTTTTGATCCGTTAAAGTTATTATTGGGTGATAACGGGCAGTTGGCATATCTTTCATCTGATGGGAGATGATATTGGATGATTGATAAGATGAGATATAGTCGTTGTTGGATGATGAATGGTGGGCATCAATTATTGGCATGTTTCATATGATATTGAGAATGTTAGGAGTCAGATGATGTTGGGAGGTCATTTTGGTTGTTCTACTGATAGGATGAAAGATTAGGGTATCAGGAAGATGGGCCTTGGATGATGGTCGATAGACATTGGACAGTTATTGATAAGGAATGTTAAAAGTAAGATGATGGTGGGCAATCATATTGATCATTCTCTTAATAGGTGTGGATATTGAGGGACTAGAAATATGGGAATCATACGACGATTATTGATCTGTATTAAACAATGATTGAAAGGAAATATTTGAGTTTGGGCATTGATTGGAGTTTAACTTGGTTGCTCTCTCAATAAAAGTTTTGATGTGTGAGAGTTGTTATTGGTATGTATTGTTTGTTGGTATGTATTGAATGATAATTGATGGGAAACATAGTTGGGCGTAGTGGGCAACGCTTAGTTTTTCTCTTGATCATTGGAGATATTGGACTACTGAAAAGATGCGCATCAATACTTGATGAATATCAAACATTAATAATTAGTAGTTGTTAAACAACGATCGACAAAGGCTTTAGAACATGGGTTATGACAGACAATTAATTTGGTCGTTCTCGTGATAGGAGGGTTTATTGGGCGATGGTGATAACATATGTCAAATGTTAGTTATTGGTAAGCATTACTAGTGTCAATATTTGACACGACAAGAAAACCCGACTCAGAATTTTTGGGTTAGACCCGACCCGTTTTCAAAACGGGTCGGGTTCGAATTCCCGGATTCGACCCATTTAAAAAACGGGTCGGGTTCGGGTTGACCCGGCGCGTTGCCGGGTCAACCTGGAAAACCTTTTTGAAGCCTTGCCCGCGTCGCTGCCCGCGACCTCACCCGCGACCGCGACCTCACCCGCGTCGCCTGCCTGGTCGGGTTCGCATTTCCGACTCGTTTACCTATCCGGGTCGGGTTAGGGTCTACCTGTTTGAACTCGGGTCTGTTCCGGGTCCGACCCGAACCCGACCCGCGACCCAAAATTGACACCCCTAAGCATTAGAAAACATTCAACTAGAAATATTGAAAGTTGGGCAATAAACGATTAGCTTAGTCATTTCGAGAAGTAGACATTGCTGGTTAACAAAGTTAGATGTCGATTATGATTAGCAGTCGAACGATAACCAATAGGGAATGTTGGGAGTATGACGATGGAGGGTTACTGATTTTGTTTTTCACATGATAGGAGCTTAGTCTTGGCTATTGGGAAAAGTGCGTTAGATGTTGACTGTTGATAGGCCTTAGTCATTGGAAGTATTTGGAAGGATCAGGCAACTTGATAGTTGGGGTTATCATTCTCCTGATAGGAAGGGGGATTGGATGACTAATAATACAAGTAATAGACATCGATCATTTGTAGGCGATAAATGATGGTTGGAAGTTAGGTGATATATGGTGTTCAATTTTATCATTTTTTTGATAGAAATGAAGAATGGGCAACATATATGGGGCATCAGATGTCGTCTCATGGAATATGTTAACCCTAGTTTAACTCAAGTGACATCCATGGTCCCAAGGAGTATACCTTAGACCATCATAAGCCAATTTTGAACATTTGTGCCTTATATAAACCCATTTGTAACCAAAGGAACCCTTAGGTAGTTCATTGGGTTTAATTGGACTATTCATGGGCGTTTGGATCTTTGTGTAACACTATGACAAGAAACTATCACACTGCCACCACAAAATTAGTAGCACACAATAATAATTTTGTTTGTTAATTTGCACAAATTTTAGCCAACCCCACGTAGTGGGACAAAGGCTTGTTGTTGTTGTTATTATTATTAATAATTTTAATGGGACTAGTTATGAATCATTTTGGTTTGTTACGTATGGGCAGCATTGCGACGTACGACAAGAAAACAATGTTGGATAAAAAAAAGAAAGTGTAATAGTATTGAGAGAGAGATGCAATTTAAATAGAGGAAAATGCTTCTAAGAGAGATTTCTAAGAGATTGAGAGAGAAGTTCGAAGAGTGGGAGAGATTCTAAGAGAGAGGCTTCTAGGGGAGATAAAGAGAGAGGCTTTTTAGTAAGAAAGAGGCTTCTAAGAGAGAGAATTTAATATGAGAGAGAGAGGCTGCATGTATGATTATGATATAATAATGTCTATAACAGATTAATGGACATGATTGTATTTAGATGAATGTCAAGCATCTTTTTAATAGTGGTATTCATTAATTATGATTTTAATTCTTTTTGTATATTTTGTTTTATTGGTTGTGGGCTTTGTTGTTACTGATGACCTTTTTTATATATGATGACTAATTTCTCCATTTGCTTCCCTTATTGTTTTAAAATTTATGAATCGAGGATGAAAAGTCTAAATTATTGAAATTAGACGAATCTTAAAAATTAAAATATGTTCAGTTTTTTAAAACTTATTATTTTTAAATTTTAATCTTATCTATGGAAAAATAAATGTACTTTACGAAGATAAAATTAATGTTGGTGAAATTATTTAGCTTTATAGAATTTGTGGGCTTGTTAAATATTAGATATATTATTATGATTTTGTGATGTTTAAGATGGATGAATGGCAATGATTCTTTTTTCCCGGGTATCAAATGTCTTTTTAATAGTAATATTGATTGATTATGGTTGTATTCTCTTTGTATATTTTGTTTCTCTTTTATAGATTTTCTAGTTACCGGTGGCCTTCTTGTTGATATATGATGTTCAACTTCAACATTTGCTGTCCTTATTGTGCGTTGTCTTGGTTCTGTGTCTTTACGCTTCATAGCTTTTCATTTTCTTTACAATAATTGCTGTTTAAGCATTTTTCACGTATAGCGGAATAATCATAAATGTGTTGTTCCTGGGAGAGTTCTTTGTTTTGCGGTCAACAAGGTAAAAGTTGATAAATTATGAATCTAAATGAGAATGTTATTTATCTGTTATTGTAACTTTAAAAATTGTAAGGTGCAACTTAATTCATTTAGAACTTGTGACTTTAAATATTAAATCAACGTTGATTTGTTGATTGTTGATTGTTGTAATGTTACTGGGTTTAAGCTTTTCTGAAAGATTAAGGGAAATTTATATGAAACTAGATTTTAATATAGCGGGCATGCTAGCATTAGATTCAATAGGGATTACTTGAATGTTACTTTCTATACGTAGAATAGTTTGAATATCCACTACTTGAATGTTACTTTCTACTGCCAAAAGAACACGTGAATTTGCTTATTTTTCTTGAACAAAATGAAATATTTGTTATATAAAAGTTATCTGACGTTCTGTTGAGCTTTAGGTTTAGAAAAATATCACATCTCCTTTGACATGGATGCTTCTTGCGGATACTATGACCATTCGTCTAATATTTTCCATGTTTTATTTGTGTAATTCTACATATTTCCTATTTTTGATGGTACCTAGTGTTTTTTACGTTCCTTTCAGTTTCTTCTTTGTACTGAATTTATTGAGTATCCCCTTTTGGTTTCTTGATTTATTTTAATCATAATTTTTTTCAGATGCTTTCAGAGTTCAGATGTTCTCCATCATGTAATCGTGGTGGAATATTTGGTGCTGAAGCAGTTTGTCCTCCCGACTGTTTTCAGTACAAAGGAACTTTGGATGTTTTCTACAAAGTCATTAGACAAGTAAGTGCCTCATTTACTGAGTTTAATTTTGTTTCTTTACCAATTACTTCAATATTGAATTTTATTCATGAATTTTTCCTCATTTTGAGCATACCGGTTTATTGATGGGCTAATATAATGTTTAAAACACAGGAAGGAATTGCTAGGCTGTGGAGGGGTACAAATGCTGGATTAGCATTGGCCATACCAACGGTTAGTTTTAATTTTTTGTTTCTTTATCGGGCCTATTTTCCATTTTTTTAGTTTGTTTTTTCCACTCTGAAATTCATTCTTTTCTATGGGATTTAATGTGGTTTGAAACTGTACAATCTGATATTGAGACGTGTTCTATTCATGAGGCAAGGTATAAGTCTCAGTATTAAATCACAAGTTAATAAAAATTATGGAATAAAAGGTAACATACTAACATTGAAGTAAGATATTGCAGTAGGATCATAGCAGTAAGCCTATCCCACTCTTAATTCAGCATAAACAAGCAGTCTATGTCACTAAGATTATGATTTATGAATTCAGAAGTCTTCCTCACTCTTATCATTTAGCGGGTGCAAGTGTAGTGTATGGCTGGGAGTCGAGGAAGTGTATGCAATTTCATTTCTCGATTATGTTTATTTAAGGTTTAAGAAATAACAAAATAGGATTTGTTTTATATACTAAATTTGCAAATTAAAAACTTTAAATTACCTAAACTCTAGTGTTTGAGGCTTGTACTTACAAATTTCCCAGAGGCACGCATTAAGGCATGCCTCAATCCCACTGAGGCATATGCCTCATCAACCCAAGGTGAGGGGTAAGCCTCATGTCACTTTTTTTCAAAATTTTGCTAAGGTACCCCTATTGGTGCACTTTTTATCTTAGAGTTTTAAATAATGGTATTTAAGTTATCTTTTAACTGATGTAATGATGGCGGGAATATCATTTTCTGCAAACCTACATTTCTTCCTTCCATCACTTTATCTATTTTTTTTGATGTACATGGAGAGAGAACTTTTCTTTTTTACTTTTGTTTTCAAATTAGGTTTGAATGTTTGACATGAAACTATTGCTGCAAATAAAATTTCTGGTAAATTTTAAATGGAAGTTGACATATAGAAAAATTTACTTTGAGCTAAATTATTGTTTTTTCTTCTTCCTATCTCCTAAGATGATTTATCTGTTGTTTAAATCACACATTCCTCCATTTTTTTTGTAGCTGATTATTTCTTAGATTTTTTCAATGTTTGTTTATTGAATTTGATACTTTTTTTTTTCTAAGCCCTTACTGGTTTGGTAAAGCAAATTTTGAGGTTTGATGGTCAACCATGAATTGACTTTTATTAATCCACCATGTTTTGGGTTGGAAGCAGATCATGCTTATCTTTATCAAACCCATTTTATGTAATATGTGGTCAGCTTTTTGGCTAAAATATCCTTCATTCAACCCACTTTAACTTGAAAATTTAATGCCCATTTGGTTGTTGGCATCCTCAAAGTTCCATGAGTCTAACATCCGCAACTCCTCATGATTATCTTCAATCCTTAGAAGTGATTGGCATTGTAAAGTGGCTGTGGTTTACATTCACCATTTGGATCAAGGTGCCCTTCTTGTGGTCAAGAAGTGCAAATCATTAATCCCATAACTCAAAACAAGCACCATGGCATACATGTGTTGCATGCGGTGTATGTCGCCACACATATATTTCCGTTTCATTGTACGAGGCTATATATAAGCCCCATTTGTTTCTTTTGAAGTTAATTAATGAATTATAATCAAATTCCTGCAAATTGAGTTCTTGTGAGAGCTTGAGAGTCTTGGAGAGAGATCCCTAGGAGAGGGAAGCGGATCACCCACCAACCTTGGAAGAGTTCGGGTTCATGGCTATTCTCTTCTTTGTTCTTCCTCTTTTTCCCTCCCTTCCCTTTCACCCCACGGCCCATCCAAAAATCCCTCCACCGCCGGCCATCCTAACGCCATCCTACCTCTCTGCCAAGCTCACACCCAACCTTCCCCCATCCTTCCTACTTTCTTACAACTCATTCCCATATCCCCAAGCTACCCGAACTCCACCCAAACCCTAGCCTAGCCGCCGGCCTCTCCCTTCCCCCTTGCCTCAAAATTTTCAAATTCCTCATCATTACTTTCTTTTCTTACTTAATCTTTTTTGAGAAAGCTTTTTAATTTCAATTATTCAAATCAAATTTGAATTTTGAAACATTTCCTAAAATAGAATCCTAATAGCAATCTTCATAGATCATAATCTACTTCAACATAACAGGACCAAGAACATAGAAGTTGATTAATATTTTATAAAGGAAAAATTGGACAGTGGAATTATCTGTATTTATCATGTGTTATCAAAAGATCAGCTTGCAGACATTCTTACTAAGGGACTTGATAACTCTACCTTTCTGGAACTGATTACCATGTTAGGAATGACAGATTTGTATTACTCAGTTTGAGGGGGAGTGTCAAATATTGTTCCCGCCATCCCAGCTATCCATTTCCTTGATCCCCTGACTAGCATGGGGATCCATGGGAGGTCACCTGGATCACGCCAATCTCCTTCCATATTTGGGTGGTTGATTTATGAAGGATTATATTAGTACAATTATTCATTATTCTGTTATTAGTTGTTTCCTTATTAAGATATCTTGTATAGATCTATAAACAGGGAGAGCTTTATGCAATAAAATCAATCCTTTTTTCCTTTCCAATTCTCTGAATTTAACACCTTCAGTTCTGATAGAGCCTAGGTTTGTGATGCCACTTTTACTCGTCTTCTTTTGATGTGGGTAATGCTTAAGTGGTTCACACATCACTCGGGCTTGCCTTTTTTAGCATGGCAAGAGGTTAGGTGCTTGACATTCTATTTGTGACCATCTTTTTTGGTGTGGGCGGTGGACCCTACCAGCATTCTCTGTCAATTGCTAGCATGGTGCTACATAAAAGAGCCCACATTTTTGATAAATCATGAGACATGGAAAAACTTCATTTTGCACCATGGGTGGTGTGCATAAATGTTACCAAAATGCTTGTTGCTGTCAGAATTTGGACGAAAATTTTACTAATTTATTATTAATAAAATCCAATCAGTATGATCTAACACTTATCATGATGGACTTATACTAGAACTCCTTATTGCCTATGAGATGCAGCCGAAAATTGAATAATTGGCATACTTGAGAAATTAGTAGCAGCTCCTACTCAGTTCCTTATGGCATTGGAAGAAAACAAAATGGTGTCACAGCATACAAAATGTGCTAAACTAGAGAGCTCTTTCATATGTTAACGTACTCCCAACATATATAACTACCACATAAACTAACTAACAGAGAACTCTGCCATATATACAATATTTTTTGGCATATGTAAGCTATATTTACGCAATTTTTTCAATGCATATGGCATCCCACCCCCAACCGTGAAGGCAAAGAGCCTGAGCTTTTATAATTATATTTTTGGATGTGTATGTACCACATGTAAGAAAATGACTCAGTCAAAGGTCAAACTAAAATAATGTGACTAATGTTATATAGACCAATCAGAAATCCGGTTATAGTGATTAGTTTGGCATGATAATCAAACTTTGTTTAATGGTGTCGGTCTCTCCTTGAGCCATGTAATTGCCATATAACATTTCTTATCTGTGACACATCAACAAATTGGGTTCACAACCCCACATGGCATGCCACATCAACAATGAACCTATGTGTTGTGGCCTTTATTCAATGTGATATGTTAGAGGTAGTTCCACATCAACTACATGTTGACCTTCATAAATTTTGTAGAAAGGCCAATAAATAGTTGCAATTATAAATATTGAAATGATCTATAACAAAAAAACTATAGAGCCTAGTGATCGTTTTAGGGCATATAAAATTATAAAAACTTTCTTTTGACTCCAAATTTCTTCTAGTTATTTTTGCTTAATTTGAAATACAAAACCCTTGCTAAAAAAATTATAAATGCCCTAAAATCTTTAAAAATGGGTAAAATGTAAAGCAAGAATAAATAATGGTGATAAAATGTGGGAATGCTTGAAGAAGACCCTTACATTTGGAGGCGACTTTGTCTTGTTTTGTGGTCAACAACCTTCCAAAAAAAATATGTTAACATTGTATTTTAACCTAAGGGAGTTGGTGATTTTGTTGAGGACTTGGACCACTTGGTTTTAAATTAGACGATGCAAACTATGTCCTTAAGTCACACCAATAATTCAAATTATCTTGGGCGTGGGATCCTTAAGCATCAAATGAAGGCAATTTTTGAGGATTTATTAGGTTTAAACTTAAAAGAGTAATTTTACCTAAATTGTTCTTGGCAAAATCAAGATCTAATAGAGTCTACTTCACAGTTGCATCAACAAGTGAATTGAGTTTCTAAAGTTCTCATATGCAACAATGGTACAAACACACTAGGAGTGCAAAAAATTAGCGCCAATTCTTTCACTCAACTCCCAATCAAATGGGTACTAACTCCTTTCTAGGTGAACTTAAAAATGAATATTTGTCATGAAAAATTTAAGAAAACATGAAGTATCAAAATTCTATAAATGATTTCTTTGTTCTATTAGTTGCCTTTCCTTTGCTCTTTAAATTAAATATTTTAGGTTGCTAAAATTAATGACATTTTAAGTTTCACAAAGGAGTTTATATCATATCACGATGATCATGTTGGCCTTTTTTATAGCCTTTAGGCTAGCAAGGATTAGGTAATTGCCTTTGAATTGGATGTTTATGCCTAAATTTAGCCCTTGAACCATGTATTTGCTATACCTTCAAAGTCCTAATAAGTCCATAATGGGCATATGTTTCCAATCCTCTAAGATACATGCTTAATATCATATAGTAGAAATGCCTCTTTTAGTCATTGTTTATCGTGAAATTTGTATCGTTGACATTCTAGCCTTCTTTTTTGGGGTCACCTTAGATGAAAAAACCTATGGATGGTTCCTAATAACACTTCGTAAGTCTAATATCACACAAATACAAAATCTTCTAACTATTTAGGTTAAGTTCCATAGGTTGATTTTACACAATGAAATCATGGGATTATGAGATCTTGATTATATTTACTGCTATCCATATATAACATAAAAGAACAAAGGTGAGAATTAATCATATCCATAAAATTGAACAGCTGGTTAAATCATGATATGGGAATGCATTTCTAAAATTTAAACTAGATCCTCATCTTTAACTATGAGTACTCCCGA